GTCTCTTCTGTGACATGTCCAGCTGTAATAATCACAATCAGCCGTGTGCTGTGTTCAGGTTGGCTTTCAAAGTCTTCTCTGAACTTTTTGTTCAAGTCTTCTGAACTCAAAATTACCCCCAGCTTTTCTAGTGGTCATCAATTCAAAAATGCTTTTTATAAATGTTCAAACAGGGAAGAATGTTTCCACTCCCAGTGTCAGTGACTGAAATCTGTTTTATTGTATTTTGTGCCAGGTTTCTAAAAGTAAATCAAGATCAGGCACTTCATTTAATTTTCTATGCAGGCTAAAAACAAACCGCCAAAACTCCACTAATAGTGGTGTTCCTAATACTAATGAATTCCTATTGCCAGTCAGATTTGACATAAAGACTGCAGTGATTAGACTCAGACAGGACTGGTGAAGAAAACTGTTTTTTTTTTCTTTTATTGTATTTACTCAGCAGAGAAAAACAAAACCTCTTTAGGCTCTAAAGTATACAATTTTTAAATATGATTAAAAGCAATTGCAAGGCAGTTTTGATCTTCATCAGAAGTAAGGCTATTTTTCAATACACCTTTACTGATCAACAGAAACAGAATCTAACTGAACTGGAGGCTGCTGTCACTGTTGAGGCTGAGGTCAACTGGCATTTTAAAATTCACCCCATTTGCGATGGAATGGTTTTCTAAAGATACTGTTGCTTTTTCCTTAGACAGAGACATTATGTAAAGATAGAAATGATCAACATTCAATATCTACTACTTCCGGTAACACTAGAATAGTGTAGGAATTTATAAATCATCATCATTATTTTCAATATTAAATTAAATTAATTTCAGTTGATTAATCACCTTTGTTATAGTAGTAATACAATTAATAATGATATTGATATTAGTATAATGCACTACAGTATGTTCATATTAATATATTAATATACTTGCAATCCACAACTGCTATCTTTAATTATCTATAAACGATCAAGTAATGATCAGATGGGCTGATGAAAAAATAGTATTTGAGAACGTAATCACGGACAAACTGCAGGTAAGTCTTTTATACTTTTTTATGTGTAGAAATTGATGACTTCTAATGTACTGATCAGCACATGATCAAAAGTGTTGAAGTTATTTTATGAACCTTGTGAAAGTATTTTAATTTATATCTTCAGGTTTTGTTGCAGCTGTTTCTTCAGACACATTTTCCACTGCTGTGCTGCTCAGTAAAGCATGAAGTGGAACACAGATGACAGACCTAGCGCAGTTGTTTTATTAATAATGCCTAACGATACTATTAGACTTTAATTTATATACGAACTCAAAAAATCATTTTAAAGTGCTTATACACTGCAGGCATGTGTGTTTACATGATTCTTGTCACATTTTGTAACAAATGAAAATTATTCCAGCACTACTCAAGTCCAGACCAGCATCAGCATGTGCTTTTTTCAGTCTCAGCTAACAATTACCTCCACAGCTAAAGTTTAGTTTACAGCACAGAGAAGTGACATGTACAGTAAAATGTTTAATAAGATCCTGTGAAGTATGTGTTGCAGATATATTAATACATGTTGTCTATAAATTGAGAAGATTCTGCATTGGCTTATTTCAATTCTTTCATGCAGACAATCCTCCTAAAATAATCACTATTTGTTGATTCTGAATTTCAGCAGCAGGTAGAATGGGGAGTTAGTTCCCTTGGTGGCTCTGTCTAAGTTTCAGTGAACTCATTGGAAACTGGGCAGGCTGATTCAGCAGACCTGTTCTATCTGTATGAGAGGCGAACAGGCTGCTCAGGGTCACAGCTTGGAGTCCAGGCTGGTCCAGGACACCTGGTGCAGAGAACTCAGGCGCCATGATTCCAGTGATGAGTCATCAGAACCTCAGAAAGGCTCCAAACAAGCACAGACCTGTCCGGCTCACTAGAATACTTGTAGCACATTGATCTGAGGATGTCAAGGGGCTTCTTTGAAAGCATTCTCATTTATAATATGTGTAACTTTAAAATATATGTATTGATGTTAATTGTTGGGTTTCAAAACTACAGATACAGGAGTAGAAGGAAACCTGATCTTTGTTTA